GTGAAAACCGCTTAGGGGAGCTGATTAAGTTAGGACTGGGACTATCAAGGACAAAAGTCAGGCATCAGAACAATTCCCTGAAATTGTCTCAAAGAATATGGAGAAAGTAATGAATTGATGAACCTTGGCAGTAAGCATTTCATCTCCGAGCAACGCAAGATCCATCCGGCACATCCGTCGCATGGTCTCGCTTCCTGCGTCTTGGTGGCAAGCATAAGCTTGAAGAGCACGTTGTGCCTTTCGCAACTGCCTGCCACACCTGTTCTCATTTGGAGAGCAGACTCTAAATAACTACGGATGGAAGGCGCTAACAGGCTGTAAGCCGTAGGCCTAAGATGTCAGCGACAACGCCGTGGGATGAAGAAGACTTTTTTACTGACGATTTACACCTGAGCAACAGAAGAGGGCTGTCGAACATGGAAGCGTACATCAAAGAAGCATGAAGAGGGGATCGATTTTCCTCGAGTGGCGGTTCAGCTTCAGGAGCAGAAAGTTCCTGAAAGTGTTCCCGCAGTTAGACAGGACATGGCATTCGTTTCCAGCGTAGTGATCCACCAGCGACCCTTGGTTGCGGCAACTCCATAAAGAGCACATAAACAGACCTAGATGGCGTTCGCCCTGTCAGCTTCTTTTGATCCGGACATGTTGTATCGCGGTTCCCAACGAAGCTCAAATAAACTGATACAGATCAGCAACGAGGAGGTCGACTACCAGTGATTCGTGCTGCGAATAAGAACAGCTGAATTTGTTGGATGCGCATGCGTTAACCGTAACCGCAAACAGGGAACCGGATAATCGGTTCGTCTTCCAACAGTGGCCTTCATCGATGGCTAGCTTTCGCGACGACCAACCGTTACAGCCATGCAGAATACGAAAAGAAGATAAACACAGAGACTCAGGCGAACGAACGGATGAACGCAATACAAATCGATGGCATCGGTAATTTTATCCGAAATAGATATTACGCAAATGTATTCAGAATTTATATGAATATTTTATAAAGCACAGACGAAACGATGATGACCGGCACGCCGAATATTGCGAAACAATTAGCTTATCAGATTACGCGGTTACGAAATGCTTGCCAGTCGGACGAAGATGATTTTCAGCAGAAGTGGTGATCAATTACCAGTTCAGTTATTGACCATGACGAGTTTCGCATGGTTTAGCCGCAGCATGGTGCACGACTACCTCGGCAGAACGGCAGCAGGGCGACATGAGTGGTGAGGGCGCAGACTGCAGCTGACGGCCGTCCTCGTCCTGGTTGGCCCACGCCTACCTTCCCCATCTTCCCTTACGAAGCGGCACGCCCTTTAGCTGATCCTCGGAGGAGGTTGCAAAACGCCACCCACTTCTCTTAGTCACAGTGGGTCAATCTTGATTTCGACTTCACTTTTGCCTTCGTCATCGCCTTCATTCGACCTAACGCCCTAACCGCTAAACGCTGCTGGCCGTCGAAGCGAACAAACATTAATCGATTCATACGTTCTTTTCATCGCAGCTTCTAATTTGCATATGGAAGATTATTCTAAAAACTTTGTTGAATTGTTTAACAACTGAAAACAACTTTATATGCTTTAAGCGCAACAGGAAAATTCATGCGCACTAAGCTGTGCCTGACGTTCCGCGAAGAGCACATCGTTACCACTACCGTAACCATGGACCGATACGGTCTAAGATGTGTACGGCGAAGCGCGTTCCGCAACTTGTGGAATCTCCAGGTTGAAACACATCACTGTCAGGGTCTCCGTCGTATCGACGTGTTGAGAACAGGGCGTTTGCGATCGGTGACTGGTTTGAATTTTACACCGAAAGTCTGATGCTCATGCACTGTTTCAGACGAACGCGAAAGAACAATTCTTCCCTTGTGCCACAATAGCTAAAGACAAGTCACAGAATGCTGCAAACTTTGCCATGATGGAGCCCAAAATTTTAAACCGAACAACTCATGAAATTTTAGCTGAGTGGTGACCGATACATTTTTTTTGCGAAATAACTTCGGCACAGCACAGCGTCGTATCTGCATTGCGCACAACCCAAAATACCTCTGCAGTCATGAATATCACAAATCTGAATCGCTTCATCCCTGAAGCACCAGTCTGTCTCAATGGACTGTAACAGCAGCAAAGAACAAATTACAGAAACACGGTTATCGCCATTTTACCTTAAAGGCTGATGCAAGCATTTAGAAAGACATATGACTGGTGAAACAAACAACTGAACGCCGTCGCTGCCTCCAGTGGACCAATCGAACAATTTCCGCAAAATTCTCAGCTGTAAACATTTTGAATCGCAGTTGTCCTTTCAAGCCCGTTACATTATATGTGCTGTGATATGATACGAGTGCTAGGTATTCGAT